ACTGCCTACATTAAAGTTAGAGGAAACTTGTTATTACTGAGTGTTGTGCTGGTTGAATCAGTGCACGCATCTAAGTTTTTGACCTTGAGGTAAAAATACCATCTCGAGCCAGCAGGTAGCGTGGTGGTTGAGGCGCTGGACTCCCATATGGCCGACCGCGATTCAAGTCCCCAGTCTGGCAGCTTTTTTCTCACTTTCTCTCTGTCTCTCTTTGGTCAGCACACATGCCCTACAGCAAAAAGAAAATTTTTAATAATAATAATAAATTAAATTAAATAAATTTAAAAAATAAAAAGCTTCTGAAGAAAAATACTGAGCTGGCCCGTGGCCTGGTGGTGAAGGCCCTGGACTCCCACGCGGCCAGCCACAGCTTGAGTCCCGAACCCAAGAGCTTGCTTTCTCATATCCCTTCTTTCTCCCTCTCTATCTCTGCCTTGCTCTGGTCAGATTAAAAAATAACAATAAATAAATGAAATGAAATGAATTATTTAAAAGAAAAATGCCATCTCTTACCTAAGGCTAGGTATTGTCTTACCCTCTGTAGCTTTTTCTCCCCTGGCTTCTTACCAGGTCCCCCTCCACGTGCTAACCCTTCCCATTCTTCCTGCACACTGAGGGCCCCGTAACTGCTACTTCTACCATGGAGGACAGTTTCAGGCCAAGGCTACGTGTCGGCTCCAACAAGAACGTGTTCCCTTGCTCCCCCGGCCCCCACGCTGGAATCCCTGGTGCCATCTGAAGCCACCACACACTTGCCTTGACTCATGTTCTCTGCGTGGAATGCTCTTCTCCCACTGTCCACACCCTCCAGCTTCCCTTCGTTGAATAAAGAAGTTCTCCACTCAGGTATCTTACTGGTAAGGCCCCTCTGCCTTCCCTGTCCCAAACTGCAAAGCATGCTCCTCTACAAACACACTTTCTGAGTCCCTGAACTAACTTCCCTTGTCTTTGGGAGATGCCGCACCCACATGCACAGTTCTGATCGTTCACTTTGTCTCTCTGACATGACGTGGGGGCCATGACTGTCCGTTATCTCTGGTGCCCACTGCCATAACAGAGCTGAGAACACGAGAGGTGCTAAGCACTCCGCCAATGAATCCACGTCCTACCACAACTGCCCTTCTTCCTAAGACGCCACACGCCTTCTCAGAGACGCCACATGCCTCAACTCTCCTCCAGTGTCTGTGGCGTCACATCTCGGTTTTCTACTCCTCCGTCTCCAGCTCTGACAGCAGTCCCGCTCAGACACCTTCAGGACGGTCTCTGCCGCCCCGTCTCTCTACTGCGAGATCACTCCTGCTAGATCGCTTTGCTCGATCTCTCCACTGTGCCTAGTGATCAGCTCCAAGCGTTAAGCACGGTTATGATTTTATTCTCCTGAGCACCTAGCTCGCCTTCTGCAAATACAGCCAATGTGCTCATCGGAAGGTCGCTGTTCTGCTGGGACTGCTGTCCACGGCATCCTCTCAAACCCGCAGAGTCTCGAACTTACGTCAGCTTCTGGAGTCTGCACCGTGGACTTCTCAGGGCGTGACAGAGACTCCTCATGGACGCGGGGTTTAGCTTGCTGTTGCTCAGGTCGAGCTCGCTCACGCTCCTGTTGGCACCAAACGCAGAGCAAAGCTCCTCCCACTGGTGCATGGAGTCGATTCTGCCTGCCCTACCGAAGGGGGAAGGGAGAGGACTGGTGAGAAAATCACCCTCAACCAACACCCGGAATGTGGCCTACAGGAGGCGAAAAGATACCCTAAGAAAAGGTGTTGGGCTTCACTCGCGCTCTGGACATGGGGACACGCAAGGCAAAAGTCTGCTCAAAATGCAGCATGGCCTGTTTCTGAAACCCTCATAAACTCTTTAGACGCAAGAGTCATTAAGTTCAGACTAAGAGCTCTGCCCCTTAGGGCAAAAACCAATCTCCATAGATAATAAAATTTCTCTTGTAGAATTTTGTGATGATTGAAAACAATTCATGCAAATATTTAGGATTTAGAATGATTAGAATTTTCAAATGATTAGAATTTCCGTAAGGCAGCAATGTTAGCGCCCTGGAGGGCTGGCCCTGTTGTCTAACAGCTGAGGGAGCCAGATCCCACGTGGCCAATCACGGTTCAAATTCCAGCCCCGGGAGCTTGAAACACACACGCTGGGGAGTGTGTGCACATGCCCCAAGTCCCACAAGGGTGGAGGAGAAGAGATGGCAGTGTCCACATGCCACTGGGGGGTGCTCTCTCCCTCTGTCTCTCTCTCTCTGTCTTCCTGTCTCCATCTCTGTATCCATCCCTCTACCTCTCCATCTGTCTCTCCATCTCTCTGTCTCTCTGTCTCTTTCTCTCTCTGGCAAGTACACACGCTTTCTAGCAAAGATAGAAGAGGAGGAGGAGGAACGGGTTTCTGTAACTCACTCTGCGGTTTCCACATCAGAAACCCTTTGAAAAATGGGACCGCTGACCGAGAGCCTCAGCTTGTTCAGCCTCCCACAGTGCTTCAGGCAAAACGCAGAGACACGGAGTTCCATGTTCCCAGAAAGATCGAGGTCAGCTTCAAAAATGTGGCCCAACATCATCTTTACGAAGTCTTCCTCCTGAGTCTCGTGGAGGCAGTGAAAGAACTGTAGGACATCGAACGGGACCGAGACCATCTCCGGTTCATGCAGCTCTTCTTCCCACTCTAGTAAGTCCTCCATTATCTGCAGAGACACCTTACAATGCAAAGTACCCTCCAGTTTTCTTGCTAGGTCTTGATTTAAAAGACCAAAGAGGAGACGAACCATTGGAGTCCAATAGATGCTTCTGTTAACCAGAACAGAGCTGAGCACTGTCTTCATCTCCTGGTACTTCGTGGAGTGGCCCAGAGAGCCTTCAGTTCCCTCTAGCACGTAGAACATGGCTGCAAAAAACTCCTGGAAGCTCGCGTGAGTGAAAGTGACACAATCTTCGCAGTCACTGACCTTCTGAAGAATGCTGAACTTGAAGAGAGAGTCGAGGAAAGGTGCTTCCAGGCACCGATACCGGCTGTCCTCTTTTCCAAACGTGAAGGCTGCATTCCACATCCCCTCCGCAGCCAGAGCACAGAGGGCCCTCCACTGCCTGGGCCAGCTCCGATCTGCCCAACTCACCTCTGCCACTGAGAACAAGCTGGAGACGAAGCAAGCATACAGACTGGTGGTGGTCCGGGCGACCAGCTGGAGGTCGCGTCTCGCCTTCTGCTGCTTCAGGCTGGAACACACGGCCCAGCACATCATGGGCTCCCGGCCCAGCACATCATGGGGGGACACCAGGAATTAAAGAGAGTTTCGTTTTTTCTTATCCAATGCAAGATTTTCCTGGCTTCTTTCTGGTCACTGAAGTACCTGATGAAATACTCCTCCTGGTCTTTGTCTGTGAACCCTACAATTTGTACACAGCATGGATTCACCAACAAGCCCTTAAGATGGTTTGTACTCAAGATCCTGGTTGTTATCAGCAAAGTGGCAAAGGGAACCAAGTGCTTCTTCAACAGACTGAATAGGATTTTGTTCACGGGGAGCTTCTGGTACCAGTCGGTGCATGGTGGGCTGTCAGATGCCTCCGGTATGCTCATTTCCTCAAAGCCGTCAACAATGAACAGGAGCCTCTCAGGCCGAGACATGAATTCTTCAATGGGGGCCTGAGAGTTGGGCCAGTCCCAAGAAAGCAGCTCAGCAAAGCTGGTTTCCGTCACGCCTCTCATTGCGTGGCAGCTGAGGTAGAAAACGTAGGAGAACTTGTGCTCAAAGAGCAAGCCACACGCCCAGTGCAGCATGGCCTTCACTGCCAGGGTGGTCTTCCCAACCCCCGCCCTCCCTTCCAGGACTATCGTCTGGGCCTGGGTTCCAGTTCTGTTGGGATCCAGGAGGTTCTGCAGTTCTTCGTGTTCCTGTTCGGTCATGTTACGGACATAGATATGGTCCTCGGGCCAGGAGGTGTTGTCCCACATCGCCAATATTTTAGCCTTCATCCTCTCTCTGTGGCCTAAAACATAAGCGAGGCAAAAGAAGCAAACGAAAACACACATAACGACAGTCAGAACGCGTTTCCGAATTAAAACCATCAAGTACCAAAAGCCCCATAAAGTCTTCCATGAGGCAGGCCCGGCCTGCCGAGGTCTTCCTTTGGGGCTGCGTGGTTGAAAGTAGCAAAAGGTAGAGGACACTAAACAAGGGGCTGTCGGGAACGTCGTGACATATTTTTCCGTTTTTCTATGCAAAAACGCACTGACCTTCCCCGTGACCCAATAGTTTGGTGATATTACAAATAAGAAATACAGAAGGAGGGACCAGCAGTTAGCGTCATGGCTATGTCGCCGGACTCCCACGTAGTCGACCGCGGTTCACGTCCCGGACCCGGTGGCTTAAACTCATGCCAGGCGCGTGTGCGTGCATGCCCAAGATCCCGAGAGGAGAATGGAGGAGAAGGGATTGCGGCGTGGCCATCCCCCCTGGGGGGTGATTTCTCGCTTTCTGTCTCTATGTCTCTCTCTGTCTGTCTGGCGAGCGCACGCGCCCTATAGCAAAAACCTCTCCAAAATAAAAAAAAAAGAAATACAGAAGGAGACACGCAAGATTGAGAACGTCTTCAGAAAGGGCAGAAGGATCCGTGGTGGCGTCTGCACTGAGGGCTGCACTTGAATCAGAAGAAGTCGGGCTATGACTTCGGGGTGGGGGTGGGTACACATGACAGGAGCCCGAACATTCCAGAGCACAGTGACCAGGGCTCCTAGCAGGTGCCTCCACTGCGGGAGGGGCTGGTCACGGTATCTGTGTTCTGAACACCAAGAAAGAGAAGCCGTAACTTGCATGCTTAAAGTTCACTCTTCTGTGGAGAATGGGCTATGGGACATCAGCTAAATAAAGGAAGCAGTGGGACCAGCAGTTAGCGTAATGGCTATGTCACTGGACTCCCACGTAGCTGACCACGGTTCGAGTCCCGGACCCGGTGGCTTAAACTCATGCCAGGCACGTGTGCATGCGTGCCCAAGATCCCGAGAGGAGAATGGAGGAGAAGGGATTGCGGCGTGACCATCCCCCCAGGGGGTGATTTCTCGCTTTCTATCTCTCTGTCTCTCTCTGTCTGTCTGGCGAGCACACGTGCCCTACAGCAAAAACCTCTCCAAAAAAAAGAAAGAAAGAAAGAAAGGAGGCAGTGACCAGGTAGGAAGCTACAGCTGTCAGCCGAGAGCCAAGAGCGAGTAACCCAGAATGGACAGGAGAAGCAAAACTGGCGGCAGCCACCACCCGACCCTCCACCTCCAGGATTCAACTTGCTGAGCTCCCACGTGTGGGCGAGGCCAGGCGGTGTCTGTCTTTCTGTGCCCGGCCTCTGTCACTGGCATAGCGTCCTCCGGGTTCACCTGCGCTGTCACAGACGACAGGGTCACCTTCTTTCTCTAAGGCTGCAAAGGGCTCCATGGTGTGAGTCAGCCGCCCTGCCTTTATCTCTGCATTCACGGACGGACGTGCAGGTGGGTCCGACCCCCTGGCTACTGTGACTAGTGCGGGCGACGTGGGCATGCAGGTGTCTCTTCGACACACTGATGTTACACTGAGAAAATGAGCCAGGCACAGAAGACAAATGCCATGTGACCTCAGACCCGGACGCAGAGAGCAGGCCGGTGTCCGGCAGAGCCAGGCAGGAGTGAGGAGGAGCAGGGCGGTGAGGAGACAGTAGTCAGAGTACAGACAGAGGGACAAATTCTGTCAGCCTACTGCACAGCCTGTGGCTGCCGTTAGTAACGTACAGTTTAAAAGTGCTCGGAAAATGCACTGTAAACGTTCTCACCACACACTCGAGAACAGTAAGTATGTCCACTGCTGGACGTGCTGACCGGGCTGCTGAATCATCCCAGGCTGTACACAAGCATGACGCTACAGGGTGCCCATAACACATACCATTCTTGTCCGTCGACCGGAAATCAAATAAGAAATTGTAAAGGGCTTAGGGTACATATTGATGGCTGAACCGGCAGGAGCACTCATTCATAACAAGGGCGGGAATTATTAAGGAAACTAGAGTCGTATGTGCTTCACATGCATCCCAGGTTCTTGGTCTGAGTAGTGGGGTGGCTGACGATTCCACCCCCCTGGAGCAGAGGGTGTGTGTGTGTGTGCGTGTGTGTGTGTGTGCGTGTGTGTGTGTATGTGTGCGTGTGTCTGCATCCCCTCTCACACCTCTGTGTGTGTGTGTGCATGTGTGTGTGTGTCTGCATCCCCTCTCACACCTTACTAATAATGAGTAGGGATCAAATGTATGCCTTCGGATTTTCATAAGTTGTGATCTTCAAGCTCAATCCCCTTCCCTACGAGTGCCAAACAATCAGGAAATCCGGAGTGTGAGTTCTTACGGGTATATGACATGTGCTGTGTCTTTCACTTTGCTCTGGCCAGGAAACACACCACTCAGGGAGCCAGAAACTGCTCCAAAGTCACAACAGATATTTAAGCGATATTAGAGTGATTAAAAGGCGATGCGTTAGGGGAGTGAATTTTATAGGTTTGACATTTAAATACGAATAGACTGCATAATATGTTTCATAGAAAGTGTGACAGAAAGCTAAAGAGATCTTACACATTGTTTTAAAGATGAAAGGATGGGTTTTTAAAAAGGAAGAAGATTAGACGAGACACAAAACACCTAGTTACAGCCCAGAATGACAACTTGGTCAACAGCAAACTGCACCTCGGTGATGGAAGACACAGCCGATGGCCGGTCTGGGTCCCTGGGTGTGCCTTTGCACACGATCTGACAGAGTGTGTCCGGGGTGGGGGAGGGACCCAAAAAGGGGACTGCAATGTGATGAGAGGGTCAAGGGTCTCGGTCTCTCCCTCAAGGATCTCTCTTTCTCTCTCATGCAAATACTTGTGCTCTCTGTCATCAAAATAAACTTTTTTAAAAACCCACCTCAGGGGATCAGCACTTGGCGTAATGTCTATGTCGCTGGACTCCCATGTAGTCGACCACGGTTCGTGTCCTGGATCCGGTGGCTTAAAACTCACACCAGGCGCGTGTGCGTGCGTGCCCAAGATCCTGAGAGGAGAATGGAGGAGAAGGGATTGCAGCATGGCCATCCCCCCGCGGGTTGATTTCTCGCTTTCTATCTCTCTGTCTCTGTCTGTCTGGCAAGCGCAAGCACCCTATAGCAAAAAAAAAAACTCTCCAAAAAAGGAAAAAAAAAAAACAAACCACCTCGGTAGAGGTTAAGGAAAAGAGAATATGGAATGAATGACAAATGCTGGAGAAATGACTTGAAAAAACCTAAGAGGTGGAGGGTGCGTGTCTCTAAATTGAAAGGGCCATATGGTATCTACCCCGGTTAAAAGATGAAGCCCAGAACTGGTCACATCATTAGGTCATCTTAGGTCAGAGGTGGGGACCCTCAACGTTACACATAATCAGACTTACGGATACTGGGTACCGAGGACCAGAAACACGGAGGGGCACCCACTGTCAACCTGGAATGCTGTGCTCAAACCAGTTACCAAATGGGGGAGAATTAGAGGGATCATTTCTTTTCTTTTTTTTTTTTTTTGGAGAGGTTTTTTTGCTATAGGGCACGTGAGCTCACCACACAGAGAGACAGAAAGTGAAAAATCACCCCCCCGGGGGGATGGCCACGCCGCAATCCCTTCTCCTCCATTCTCCTCTCGGGATCTTGGGCACGCACGCACACGCGCCTGGCGTGAGTTTAAGCCACCGGGTCCGGGACACGAACCGCAGTCGACTACGTGGGAGTCCAGCGACATAGCCGTTATGCTAACTGCTGGTTCCAAGGAATCATTTCTTTTAAACTTTCCAGAGAGTATGTGTGCTCACCAGCGACAGAGGCAGAGAGCGAGAGGAAGAAAGCACCCCCACGGGGGCATGGTCACACTGCACTCCCTCCTCCTCCATTTCTGTATCCTGCCAGGATTTGCACATGCACACAGATGTTGTGGCATGTTTTTCTGGCCACTCAGTCCAGGGTTGGAACACGTATGATCTAGTTCCCTTAACTACTAGACCACAAACCAACCCAAGCGAAATTTTAATTGACGTCTCTAAAATACCAAATGGGGCCAGCCCTGCCACAGCAGTTAGGCCCTGTACCCTGGGAGCCAGATCCTATGTAGTCAACTGTGGTTCGAACACTGGCCCTAATGGCTTGAAAAACATGCCAGACACATGCATGTGCATGCCCCAAATCCGGACAGGTGGCTCAAGGGAGGAAAAAGGCTTCCAGTATGACCATACCCCATGGGGAAGGGGTGCTTCCTCCCTCTCTCCCTGTCTGTCTCCCTCTCCCTCCCTGTCCGTCTCTCTCCCTGTCCGTCTCCCCCTCTCTCCCTGTCCGTCTCCCCCTCTCTCCCTGTCCGTCTCCCTCTCTCCCTCTCCGTCTCCCTCCCTCCCTGTCCGTCTCCCCCTCTCTCCCTGTCCATCTCCCCCTCCCTCCCTGTCCGTCTCCCTCCCTCCCTCCCTGTCCGTCTCCCTCCCTCCCTGTCCGTCTCTCTCTCCCCCTGTCTGTCTCCCTCCCTCCCTGTCTGTCTCCCCCTCTCTTTTTAAAGCCCTACCTCATGTGGACCTTTCTCGGAAGTTAGCAGAGAACGGGCCCCAGGAGCAGGGGTGAGCGAGCAGACTGCACGGCAGCAATGGGGGACAGGGCCGAGCGCGGTCTGGTTCCCTGGGTTGGCCTGAAAGCGTGTGTGCCTTTGCCCCGATCTTAGAGTGTGGGGGTGTGGGGGTGCTGCAGAAAGGGAAAAGAGAAAGGCAACTGGGGGGGAAGAGAGGCCACCGTTGGCAGAAGTGGGAATTCAAGAGTGAATAGCAAGGTTGAGAGCTACGATACACACAGGAGGGCGTGAGGCCTCGAGAGACCGTCTAGAAGCAATGGGAGGGAAGTGGGGGGCTCCTGGGTGTCTTTTTAATTGCATCGTAGTTCCCGAAGAATTGGAGATCGCGTAGTAATAATTACTAGAAAGGTGAATTAAAAGCAGTTTTTAAAGAAGATTTTGCCACAGGCCATGTGCACTTGCCAGAGAGAGACAGTGAGAGGGAAAGTGAGGAAGCAGCCCCCGGGGGTGGCCACGCCACAGACCCTTCTCCTGGGACCTTGGGCATGCACTCTCACATGCTCAGCGTGATTCTGAAGCCACCGAGTCTGGGACTCAAACCGCATTTGGCCATGTGGGAGTCCAGCAATGTAAGTGCTATGCTAGCTGCTGGGCCCCAAAAAGCAATTTTTAATTCCAACAAAACCAAGAGATTGCTCCCCCAGGAAAGGCATGTGTGTTAGACTGAATGATGGCTCCCTGAGACAAGAGGCCACAGGTTATAGAAAATGTGTATTACGGGAAACCGTGCATGAATGTCAAGCTTCTCCGCACTAAAATAAACCAGACTCTAATTCCACTTTTCCAAAAGCTTCGTGAGGCCCCTAAATCCATGCCCTAATCTGTGAATACTTCCTGGCGTGGCAAAAGCTGTGGCAGGAAAGGATCTTGAGAAGGGGCGCCATCTCGGATCACCAGGTGGGCCCTGTGCACCGTCACATGTGTCCTTGCGAGCGATGGACAGACACGCAGAGCAGACACAGGAGGCAGCAACGGCGACAGACACGGAGGCTGCAGCGACGTGGACAAAGCCGGCAGACGACAGCGGTGGATCAGCTCCTCAGATCCACGCAGAGAATGTGGCCCTGCTGAAACCGTGACCTAAGGCTGTTGACTTAGAGTATCTGAAAGCTACCCGGTTCACAGTACGATCCGGTTACTTTAAAAAGTGGTTCAGCAATAATCTCAGAGTGTTACATGACTCGGCGCGGGTTTAGCCCATGACACTGGACACTAACTCTCACACACACAGTAACTTTATGGGAAGACAGAGGGAGACAACCTACCGTGGCAAACGGTCATACTCAAACGGCTATGAAACAGCTCAGCACTTAGCGCTCCAGGTGCAGATACCAAAGGGGGCTGCCAGGGCTGGCGGGCGGTGGCCCTCCGACTCCCTGGGGACTTGACACAGGTGCACGTATTTCCTTAATGAAGCTGAACTCAATATTAAATGTACCGTTTTGTCAACGTGAACATCTCTTTGGGGGCCATGGTACAGAAACCTATCACTTAACCTGTCATCTAACCAACCACTTGACCTACCGATCACTTAGCCAGGTTAACAGGGAACCCAAATACCTATGAACGAAGTTACAAGGTCCAGAAATAGACTCCGGGGCCTAAGAACTTAGGCTGAGATCAGAGGATGCCCGGTTTATGCTAAATTACAATATCTTTCAACAGCAGTCCTGGAGGAACTAGCGGGGGAAGAGTCTTTACCTTCTCGAGTATGATCAATTCAAGAAAATTCAGAGTTGGGAGGCAAATGTGGACCCGGTGAGTGAGCGCCATCTGCACATGAGTGTCCTGAGTGAGTGCACAAACCTGCTGCTTCTTCTGACACCTCTGGGTCTCCTTGCTTCGGATCTTGGGGCCCCTGGGCCTGCACAGTCCCTGAAATAAACAGCGATAAGGGGATATTTACACGCCCCAGGCTGAGAATGGACAATGGAGACTCCCAGTAGAACCAACTCTTCTTGACAAACTTAGCATTGACAAGACTGAAGGAGACAGATGCCCAAGCTCCGTCACCCACTAAAGATACGACACGGCAAGTGAAATAAGCCAGGCATGGAAAGAAACACCACATGTTCTTTCTTTTTTCTTTTTTTTTTTTTGGGGGGGAGAGGTTTTTCGCTATAGGGCGCATGCGCTCGCCAGACAGAGAGAGACATAGAGACAGAAAGCGAGAAATCACTCGCCAGGGGGGATGGCCACGCCGCAATCCCTTCTCCTCCATTCTCCTCTCGGGATCTTGGGCATGCACGCACACGGCGTGAGTTTTAAGCCACCAGGTCCGGAACACGAACCGCGGTCGACTACGTGGTAGTCCAGCAACATAGCCATTACGCTAACTGCTGGTCCCAACCACATGTTCTTAATCTGTGGAACGTGGAAAGATGACAGGAGGGAGCTGGAGAATGACTCCTAGAAGTGGGAGGGGAGGGGAAGGAGGATAGAGTAATCTGGTTCAAACAAATAAAATGATGGGACCAGCAGATGGCATAACGGTTACATCGCTGGACTCCCACATGGCTGCCTACGGTTCAAGGCCTAGACCCAGAGGCTTGAAACACGCCAGGCACATGTGCATGCATGCCCAAATTTCCAAGAGGAGAACAGAGAAGGGATTGGAGCATGTCCATCCCCCCTGCAGAGGGATGTGATGGTTCAAACAAATAAAATGATGGGACCAGCAGATGGCATAACGGTTACATCGCTGGACTCCCACATGGCTGCCTACGGTTCAAGGCCTAGACCCAGAGGCTTGAAACACGCCAGGCACATGTGCATGCATGCCCAAATTTCCAAGAGGAGAACAGAGAAGGGATTGGAGCATGTCCATCCCCCCTGCAGAGGGATGTGATTCCTTGCGTTGTCTCTGTCTCTTCGGCAAGCACACATGCCCTATAGCAAAAATCTCTCAAAAAATACACCAGCACTTGGTGTAATGGCTATGTCGCTGGACTCCCATGTAGCTGACCGCAGTTCAAGTCCCAAACTCAGTGGCTTAAACTCAGGCCAGGCACGTGTGCGTGCGTGCGTGCCCAAGATCCCGAGAGGAGAATGGAGGAGAAGGGATTGCAGCATGGTCATCCCCTTGGGGGTGATTTCTCACTTTCTGTCTCTCTGTCTTCCTCTGTCTTTCTGGCAAGCGCAAGCGCCCTATAGCAAAAACCTCTCAAAAAAAAAAAAGATACTTTTTACTTATTAGGGCTCTAGAATAAAATGCGAGTTACTCACACCAGCATCGTTTGTTACTGATACTCTGAGCTAGTTAGTGCAGCTTCTCATCGTGTTGTGGTTGGTCTCATATAGGTCGCGTTTATTTTTTCCCTTCTAATAAGAGGAAACAAGACCTAAGTTCTTTTCCTTGTGGAGTTTGTATTATAATAGCCCTTAGCGTAAACTCGCTGTGGGAGAGGAGCATAGCTCCAGCATTTTGGACCGCTGTCAGCTGAGATGGTACTGGGTTAGGTTACATCTGGTTAATGTCCTGGGAAAATCACTTTTTATAGTGATGGCCTTCCAAGTGGTTTTAAAATTTATCCTTCTATTGAAGTTTTTAGGTCAATTATATCTATTGACTAAATTTACAAATAAACTTGTTTACCCAACTTTAAAAAAAAAAAGATAACTAGCAACCTGGAACAACTACATAAAAATCCAGACGCAAACTCCTTGCTCCCTTGGACACCAGACAGCCTTCCCTTCTCCCTTTATTTTTTTTTAATAATTATTTACTTACTATCATTATTTTTAAATTTTGACCAGCGACAGACAGAGAGGAGAGAGGGAGGGAGAGAGAGAGAGAGAGAGCGCCACCAGGTCCGGGACTTGAACTGCCGTCGACCATGTGGGAGTCCAGCACCCTTAACCACCACGCCACCGACCATCCCCTCCCTTCTCCTTGAAGACTCACTCACCTGCCATCTCTGCCCTAACTTTCTCCCAGAGTGAAGTGAGGTTCATGCTCTTGAAGATGCTGAGGGCCACCTCCCATGCCTGCCGTTCTGAGAAGTGTTCTCCCAAAAGCAGGTACAGGTTCAAGGGGTCAGCTGCTTTCACGTCTGCCCAGGGGAGGGGCCGGGAGTTCTCGAGCAGCAGCTGCTGAGACTGGAGGCCGAGCTTGAATTCCTCCAGCTGATGCTGGTCCAGGGCCACCAGGTGAGACAGAAGCCCATCGCGGGGAAGCGTCTTCACAGAGGCAGTCAGAGAGAGGCTCATCCTGCCAGAGGGTTCGCCTCAGCAGCGAGCTCTTACATCCACAGAACAAAAGGACCTGCAAGACAGAGGTGGGGGACGGACCGTCACCTCCCTGAAACTCTGTCTCCCCAGTGATGTGCTTAGTTCTCACAGCACGTCCTGCGTCCTGTGCTTGTGAGCTCATTTGTCTCCGCAAAGACATAAACGCCATTTGGACAGACTCCGCTGTCTCGTTCTCAGCTGCGTCGAACAGTGGCAGGCACATACGAGGCGCTTCACTGTCAACGATGCTAAGTATTTACTCTACTCCATAGTTTCTTTAAGTTTAAAAAAATGTTTATTCCCACTAGAGAGCATGTGTGTGGATGAGAAGGAGAGAGAGAGGGAGCTCAGAGGCAGAGACCCTTGTCAGGGCCACGTCATGCCATGACCCCCTCTCCCTATTCCCCACTTCCCAGCTCATCAGGACCTTGGCCACATACACCCAGCTTGTCTCCAAGCTGACCTGGGAACCTGCAGCCATAGTCAGCCTGTGGCTTCCAACCCTGCAGTTCACCTGCTACCTGGGAACCTGCACCCATAGTCAGCCTGTGGCTTCCAACCCTGCAGTTTAACTGCTACCAAGTGCACCTCCAGGCTGGGCCTATACCATGAATTTTTACCTTCATTTAATGACCCAAACAACCAGGGAATGAGAACATTTATGATCTTCATTTGATAGAACTGACAGCAAAATGACATGTGTAAAAAAAAAAAAGGAAAACACTACCAACCTAGATTCTGTCTAGTGAAAATGTCTTTCAAATATGAATGCAAAATAAAGATGTCTTCAATGTTAAAATTACCAAATTCTTTGTCAGAAAATGTATATACCAAAAGATAACAAAGGAGGGGCCAGCAGGTGGCGTGGTGGTTAAGGGTGCTGGACTTCCACATAGCCAACAATGGTTCGAGTCCCAGACCTGGTGGCTTGCTTTCTCACTTTCCTTCTCTCTCTCTCTCTCTCTCTCTCTCTGTCTCTCTCTGGTCAAATTAAAATAAATAAATAAAGTTAAATAAAATAATTCTTAAAAAAAAAGATAACTAAGGAGCAGGGAAACAGAAACGTGGGAAAATGTGAAAGGATGACGACTCACCATCCTGGGAATTTATGACAGACAGAAAAACAGAACAGTAACACAAAGGGTAAGGAAAACACATGCCCTTAAGCCAAGGGTGAGCTTGAAATGTCTAGGATAACCGTCACACAAATAAAAAAGATTTCAAAGCATAAGGAAAAAGTTAAGGAAGGGGCTGGATGGTGGTGCAGCACAGCAAGACTGCTCTGAGACCGACCCCACGGGAGCCCCCCCTGAGCACACTGGCCACACACACGCCCAGGATCCAACCGGCCGCGGATGGACCGCAGTGTCAGGACACCCTGAGGGCTTCTGCCTCTGTCAGTCATGGAAGAAATTCATAAACTTTCTTAAAGGTTCGGGGAAGAAAAACCAAACCGAGAGGCAGAGGTGCCTGTGTCCTGTGCTCCCAGCTCTGCTGGAGCTCGACCTTCCCAGGCTCGGTACTGACGGACTGAGGTTACAGCAGACTTCAGCCAATAAGGAGGGGCACCTGTGATGAGCAGGCGCTTTAAGAACGGAGCCCACAGAGGGTCTTGGATGACACAGGAAGCGGAGCTGGCCAGAGGGAATAGTAGAACTGGGTGAGGGGGTAGGGACCCCTACAAGCAGCGAGTACCCCCCCCCCCCCCAGTGAGAGAATACAAGGAGAGAAATTCTGCTAGAAAGGCTCAAAGAATTGCGGGACCGGGAACAGCAGTTAGCATAATGGCTTTGTCGCTGGGCTCCCACGTAGTCGACCGCGGTTCGCATCCTGGACCCGGTGGCTTAAACTCACACTGGGCACGTGTGCATGTGTGCCCAAGATCCCGAGAGGAGCATGGAGGAGAAGGGATTGCGGCGTGGCCATTCCCCCTGGGGGGTGATTTCTCGCTTTCTGTCTCTGTCTGGCGAGCGCACGCTCCCTATAGCAAAAACCTCTCCAAAGAAAAGAAAAAGAACCGCGGGACCCCCAGTCGGGGTAGGAAGCTCCTAGCAGAGAAGGCAGGGCGAGCAGCAGGCTCCTGCTCCTGTGGGGAGGCGGGCGGGACGGCGGAGGGAGGGTGCAGGAGGAAGGCGGGCGGAGCTCTCACCTACGACGGCGCGGCTTCCGCGTCCAGATTCCCGGACTCTGAAAACCTCAGACTCCGCCCCATCCGCAGCCTGTGATTGGCCCTCGGGCCCCTCGGCGTCCAATCAGGTCCTCTCCGGGCGTCCCAGGGCCTGGCTTTCTTCCCGGCCGCTCTCGCCTGCGCGGCGCCGGTAGGTAGAAGCCACCAGGATCCCAGCTGCCGCGGGGGCCCGCTGGTCCTTCTCCAGGCCTCATAATCACCGCCAGGAGGCAAAGGCCGGTCTTTAATTAAAACCCGGAACTGGGCCAGCAGATGGCACGGAGAGTAAGGCAGCTGGATCCCACATGACCTATTCGGTGGTTCAAGTCTCAGACCTGGCAGCTTGAAAATGACGCGGGGCGTGTGCATGTGTGCCCAAAATGCCAAGAGGGGAAAGTACGAGAAGGGACTGCAGCATGGCCGCCCCCAGGGGGTGATTCTCGCTGTCTCTCCCTGTCTCTCTCTGGCAAGTTCACGTGCCCTATAGGAAAAAAAAAAATCACAGACTTTGTGTGTTTAACTTACTAGATGGCCAACAAACTAAGTTTGACGTGTCTGGTTGGTGAATCTTTGAGGAAGGCTGGCGAGGGTGCGAAATGGTACAACCCTTTGGGGACAGATGTGCTGATGCCTACAGGAAAACGTTTTTCCTTTTTTTCTTTTAAGTGTTCTGCCACGTTTTTCTTTGAATTGGCATGATTATACACATTAATGGGGTAAATGTGTTTGCATGCACGGGGAGAAGGAGATCATCCACCGTACAGCAGCCCACACCAGTGTGTGATGGCGACGCCGGGTCTCCTAGCCCGCCAGTCTCAGAAACTTACACCACGGTCCGTTTCTACCACCGGCCTCTTGTAAGTTCGTTCATTCATTCATTCGCGTGGTCCACAGGTGCCTAGTGAGATGCAGAGGCGTGATTGGAAAAGCCTGATAAACACAGACTGCCCACAGCATCCGAGCTTCCGGCTCCATCTCCCTGAGGGAGAGCCCGGGACCGCGCTTTGGGAAGCACCGGGACGGAAGAAAACCTGGCTCAGCCTGCGTCCACACAGCCAGGCATTTCGCTTCTGCCCTGAGGGCTGGAGCGCATGCTACCCCAGGCCAATCAGCACAGCAGGGTCACCTGGTTCCCTCAGACCAGAAAACCTTCACCGGTCCCAGAACCGC